GAGGCTGCGTCAGGGTCTACGGTGCCCTATCGGATAGCTTTTCGACCACAAGTGGCGTTCGACAGGGTTGCCCGATTTCCCCGTCTTTGTTCAATTTCGTCGTGGATTCTATCATGGAGTGTTCCCTTGCGGAATCTCACGATGTAGGTGTTGAAGTGCTGCCTGGTGGAAGGTTAGTTGATCTAGATTATGCGGACGATATCGTCTTGCTTTTCGACAACGTTGAGGCGGCACAATCAACCCTGAATAGCCTGTCCAGAGTGGTCCTATTATTTAGTATGCACTTCGCACCTTCAAAGTGCAAAGTGTTGCTGCAGGACCACCAGCCACTCGATGACCCCTTCACGCTTGCTAACGAGGAACTCGAGGTGGTTGATCAATTCACTTATCTTGGCAGCTGCATCAGCAATGATGGGCGCATAGAAACTGACGTCAGCTCACGCATTGCAAAGGCCAGAGCTGCCTTCTTGAACCTGCGTCATCTTTGCGACAGAAGGGAGTTTCCCTCCGTCTGAAAGGCCGTGTATACAAGGCCACAGTGAGGGCCGTTCTGCTCTATGGTAGTGAAACTTGGCCCCTTCGGTCTGAAGATCTGAGGCACCTTCAAGTCTTTGATCATCGTTGTTTGCGAAGCATTGCTGGTGTCGGATGGCACCAGCGTGTCCGCAACGATGATGTGCGTAGGCGAGTACTAGGTGGTGATGATCATGCTAGCTCCCTAGAACAACAGATAGCACTGAAAAAGTTACGTTGGCTCGGGCACGTGCTACGCATGCCTGGTCACCGCTTACCTAGGAGGGCCTTGTTCAGTCTACCAGGTGTCGGATGGCGCAAGGCTCGAGGTGGACAGAAGTTGACTTGGCAGGCGGGAAATGAAGTCACTGACGACCAAACTGGGTGCCGTTGGTCCGTCTCGCCTTCCGGGTTGGAGTCCACGTGACTCACCTTGTGCTTGGCTCGAGACTTTACAGGACATGGCTCGCAACCGACACCAGTGGCGCGTCTGCTGCCGTCTCCTAATTGGATTGTCTGTTTAAGGTGTGTTTGGTGCTGAGTTATCTGCGGGGTAATGGTTGATTATGACGCGTGGCAGGGAAAGCCGCAAGGAAGCTGTCTCGCCGATGCCGCCTTATCTTTGCACGATAGCCAGCTGTTTGTGACGGAATGTTGTTTACACAAGGTGTAGGCGCCTTGACCCTGAATGTTTGCTTAGGGCATTAAGGTTTTCAGGTAAGTCCCCCTTCTCTCCCTCTTCTTATTCTTTATTTCATAGGTCCTCATGGTTGTATGGCAGCGAAGCATCAGTTCAAATGGCTGATGTACTGCTGTTGATGATGATGATGACGTATGTTCTGAACTCACTACGATTGTATCGTTTTCCACACATGCTGTCTCTTGCATCATAGATCACATACTCTGAGTCTCAGAGGAGTACAGCCTTATGAATCAGACCTACACATTCTTCGTTGTTTGAACCGACGCGCTCGTTTGCTAATCAGTCGCATCATGCATATGTAAGACGACACCCACAGTTTCAAGGGTTCATATACACCGTTCGAATACGAATGGAAATAAAGAGTAAAGGCGCGCAGAACACACTTGAGTGCAAGTGAATGGTGTGCTGACTGCCCATGGAGAGAAATCGGTTGTGTTAGGACATTTCGACCCGTAGCCTTTCAATCCGTAAACTGAGTAACACAACAAAAGGTGAACGAAATTTTGGGCACCGGCTTTCTCCAGGATACCCAATGTGGCCCAAATAGCAATTTGCAGTAGGCACAACTGTGCAGTCTCATAACAGTCTACCTAGGCAGAGTGCATGCAGTATTGAATGAGGAAAATTTGGGTTTAGTTCTCACATGGATGACATTGCCGAAGTCGCACCAAACTGATTCGACGAGGGTGTCATTAAGTAAAAGAGCATGTAGGAGAGTTTCAAGTATTGCCCGCTCACAACAAGCATGAACAAGTTGTTTCATATCAACGCTAGGGATAACTCCAAGGGGACAGCGCGCTCTACATGAAATGAGTTGAGTTGCTTCGTAGGATCAACGTAGCATAGCTAAGCACGGAGATAAACAAATGGCCAGATCACACTTGGATTTATTCCCCTCGCAAAGGCCACCAAACTAGAATATGGAGTATTTCAATAAAGAACATCTTTTTTCTTACTTTGAAAGATTCAGTATATAAACCAGTTCGCAATAAAAAGTCTGAGGTAGTTGAAAAGTAATGTGCTCATATATGTAGACTGAGGTATCATTATACTTTTATTTTTGCATAGGCAAAAGCAATCGACCGGATGTCTCACAAGTTATCCGGTATCAGAGACAGCTTGCTCAGTTGGTTGATATCATACCTAAGTGGGCGTTACCAGAGAGTCACTGTGAGTGACCATTACTTGTCCAGGTCCGACCACAAGTGGTGTCATCCAAGCGAACACACCTGGTCCTTCCCCTTGCCTACTCTATAGTAACGATATCACGATGTCTATCAAACACTGTAAACCACATTTCTTCACCGATGACATTGAGATTGTCTATAAATTTCGACGAAACGAACTCCGGAGCCCAATATCGGTGGTTCGAGAAGACATCAAGAAATGGTGCGACACATAGTTGATAAAATTCGCGGCTAATAAATAATGCATCATGTCTTACGGATGCTGTGACCATGAGGAGGCGGTTAAACCGAATAATGAACGCATCTATGTGAACTAACTGTGATCCGGATATACGATGCTTGCCGAACTTCAATTTCTCGGAGCAGGTTGTGTGATATAGCACGAGCCAAAGAATCTATGGCTAACATATGCCGTAAAATCCACACAGTCCCTGCCAAAATCGGACTATTCAAGGTCCTTGCACTTTCGATCATTGAGCACTGCAGCACTTTTAATGAGTGTTCTAATGGGAGACAGAAAAGATATGGAAAGCCTGCAAAGATCATTTACTAGGTGTCAGTTCAGTTAATCGCTAAAGCTTGAGCACGAAGTCCAAGGGTTGTAAGAAGCCCAGTTTCACCTGGCTAAAATTATTTATCCTTGTTGTGTCCTACAAGCACTGATGTCCAAGTGCGCTACGACCACGGTTTCGAGTTTTTATACAGTCTAATTGAAAGATTCCGCGACGCTGGTGAGGACTCGGCAAAAATGAGGCAAATTACGTCTTGGAAAGCAAGGCGAGCAACAAAACCGGCCTATGGTCCCAAGCTTTCGCAGAAACAACCGTGATTTCCAGTCATCATCCGTATCAACCAGCTCTGTCCGGAATGTCTTCGTACCGCCGGAACGAAGATTCGGAAGTATACCCATCATCTAGATATGTGATGCATCCTGAAATTGCAGCAACAGATGACTGTTTTCTGTCAGTTAAGGACGACTGAACATTAAATTCTTGCGACGGTGTCTCGATAAGCCGCGCCTTTGATTCCTAAAATAGCTTCTGTTGCTGCTGCAGGATCAAGGTGAGCTCTTCCATTGAAAGTGGCATCTTTGGGAGTTATTCACAATTGTATTCCGTCGCAGAAAAAGCTGTCACTGCCTTCTAGGTATCGCGAAAGTGCTAATCTCAAAGCCCAAACATTAGACCCAAAACAGAAGTCGAAAGATGTCAACAGGGAATGCCACGCGAGAGGACCAAAACGAGGTATATAGGAGACGATTTCATTAGTTAATAAAGTCCACCTACACAACGAGCTTTAAAAGATTCAGGTGTAAAACTGCCATTGGTAGAAGCAAGGTCACGACCATGAGACAAGGGAATCATCGTCGAGCCGGAATGCTGAACGCTCTATCCGATCGATTTCGTCAGGGTCTGCGTCCCCTAACGGATTCTCAAGTCACTTTCGGCCATCATCTCTCTTTCCGTGACTGACTTCCAACAGGTCGCTGTCGGAAGGTTGGTTTCCGATGGACTGGAAATGTTCGGTGGTAAAACCTATTCCTAGCAAAGTAGACAACTACAGGCCAATTCGTCTGACACCTATTTTGGCAAAGGTTGCTGAAAAAAATCATGAAGAAAGGATTGTTGCAGCCACTACAATCAAAAGAGGTCCTGATGCAAACACAACACGGTTTTATGTAAAGCAGCTCATGCATTAGAAACTTTTTTGTAACGAGACCTGAGTGGTTGCAGGCAATAAGCAACGGGAAGTCTGTCGAGGTGATATCCATCGATTTCCAGCTTGCTGACAGATCTGCAGTAATGTGCGTACGCTGAAGGCTGCAAGCTTTAACTGCGCTCCGGGCTGCAAGAGCGAAGATGGAAGAGTTTGGGACTGGCAGCTCTCTGTTGAGCACTGTGTGGTTGAGTTTGCAGATGTCACGGAAACAGGTTTATCGGTGTAGGTGGAGTCGATCGCCATATAGGAAGCAGGTAAAATGGGTGTGAATGGTATAAGGGAAGGATAGATAAAATGGTGGCGTGTGCTTGCGAAGTTGGCATAGTAACATGTGTGAATAGAATGGTAGCAGCAAGAGCGCGAGTGAATGGTTGTGGTTGTAAGTCCAAAGTTCGTCAGTGAACGAGATACTACCCGGTTGTCCAGCTCGAAGTAGGATCATCATGACAAGTAGGCAAAAAGTGTGTCGGCAATAAGCCGGTAGGCAGTAGCAACGCTTCAGTGCCGTGCAACCTCCACAAGTCGCGCGTGGGCTAAGGACACTGCGATGACCGCCCGGTCCCTCCGCAGGCTTATGATCCTTAAAGCTACGGGCCGGCGATCATTACGGTACTGGGGATCTGTCCCTATTTGGAGGATAGCCTCTCGAGTAAGGTACGCATTAATATTACTACTACTATTCTTATTACTATTATTGATAAGGCTAATGCTCAGCTGCCTGCAGTATTAAATAATGAACCAATACTCGCAAATGCCTAGCGTCGTATCTGTTAGGAGGAGCACGTTAAGAACAATAAAGTAGCAACTCAAGAATGTAAGCATATAAACGTGCGGAGAAGCGAGATATGACCAATGTACATCATAGATCTTCAACTTACCTATTGACAAATAAACACAACGAGTGACGAATAGAGTCATCAGGAAAAACCTGCGGAACCGATGACGGAAGAGAAGCGGGAAAAGGATTAAGTGCAGAGAGACCACTTGTTATCTCTTCGCACATGGTAGCAAACTGGATCTTCCCATATCGCTTGAAGAAACGCTTGCGCTGGCGCCTGAGCCGATTCAACATTGCTCTCAAATCAGGGACGGGTTCAATCGCAAAATCGTCTTTTCCGACGTTTAGCATAGGATCAGTGGTAGCAGTCCTACGATGTTTGCCACGATGTTTGCCCATAACGGTGTAGTGCGTGATAGTGGGGTGAAGAGAAAAACAGGTAATCCCACTAGCTGAGGAAAGAGAGAAAACGCACGATTAATTACACGGCACACAATGGAAGCTCGACGGATGAACGCGAATCCAACGAAGAAAGAGAAGTCGGCGGACTGATGCGGATCATCATCATCAGCAGCAGCATCAGCATCAGCAGCAGCAGCAGCAGTATACACGTCAGCTAGAGGTAGGAAACACCTCAGCTACTGTGCCGCAATACATAAAGGAAAAGGCAAATAAATTCAACAACTGTATGTCAGCTGAGCTACCAGCAACGGATAGGCATCGTTACGGTAAGCTACCAGCCGGCTACTAGGCAAAAGAAAAATTATCTTTTACGCTAAGAAATGAGATCGTAGGTGGGGGGAGGCTAAGTCATCATCATCATCATACACGTTAGCTAGAGGTGGGAAACACCTCAGCTACTGTGCCGCAATACACAGAAAAAAGAATTCAACTGGGGCAAGCCGGCTGAGCTACCGGTAACGGATGGGCATCGTTCCGGTAAGCTACCAGCCGGCTACTATGCATCAAAAAAATTACTATGCAAAATTATATAAGGTTAAATAATGAGATCGTGGTTGTACGGGAGGCTGAGGCAATGGGTAGGACAAAGAAACTCACAGCACGATCGCCAATGAGGTCGGCTCCTAGCCATGTCAGCAAGTGTGTCCAACCAAACGTGTTCGTCGTCTTTCGGACTCCGACCAGGGAGACGAGACGCTCCAACCGAGGCCAGCTCAAAAGTGAGGGCCTTCATTCCTCTGGACCAAGTCATCGTTTGGCCACCTCCCCTCTTCTTCCATCCACACCCCCGGCGCGTAAACAACTTACGTCGCGGGAGTCGGTGGGCTGGCATGCGTAACACGTGGCCCAGCCATCGGAGCCTGGTGCACGCAATAACGGTGCTGAGCGGTTCAGTTCCTTTTCCTGTGCCATAAACAAGGCGTCGGACCCGCACATTGCTCACGCTGTGTTCCCACCAGATGTGAGCTAAATTACGAAGGCACCGGTGATCGAACGTAACTAGCCTCTTCAGGCCCGCTGCTTTAAGCGGCTAGGTTTCACAACCGTACAGTAAGGACGAACGTACTGCTGCATTGTACACTCTACCCTTCAGGGCAAGAGTGATGTCGCGCGGGCGCCATAAGTGGCGAAGGTTAGCAAAAGCGCTCCAAGCTTTTGGTATACGGTTCGTGACCTCATCTTCAATTCCACGGGCGCTGATACAACTTCTCAGGTAGTTGAATTTTTGAACGACTTCTAGCTGATCCCCACCAAGGGTCAGCGTAGGGGGTGGTCAGACCAATCTTGGAGGAACGCTGTGCACTTCGAGGGTGAGAAACAAAGCCCGAAGTGACGGACAGCTAGTACTAGTCCGTCCAGTGCCGCTTGGCACATTTGTGAGCTGTCACAGATTAGGGTAATATCATCAGCATACTCTAAATCAAGAAGTCGTTCTCCTGGGAGTAGCTCCACACATTCTAAGTCGTGTCCTGTAAATGCGATTTCCATGACTTCGTCAATAGCGAAGTTGAAGAGGAAAGGTGACAGCGGGCATCCTTGTCTCATGCCGCTGGAGATATTAAAGGGCGACGACAACTTGCCGTAAGCCCTCACTCTGCCCGAGCTACGAGCATATAATGGTCGGATAATATTCACATATTTCTCGGGCACACCTCTCCTGAGCAGACAGACCCAAAGTGCATGTCTATCCACCGAATCGAATGCACATTTGATATCGAGGAACACGATAATGGTGGGCCGCCAATATATGTGACGGTGCTCCAACAACTGACGCAATGCAGCAACGACCTCGACAAAACCCAGCTTGCTCTTCACGAATCTGGCTTTCACGAGTGCCAGTCAGCCTGGGAAGTATAACAGAGGCAAGCAATTTGGAGGCGATGGAGATCAGACTGATTCCTCTATGGCTGCTGCATTCCGATCGTGAGCCTCTTTTGAGAATTGGGACTATGACGGAGCGGCTGCAATCGGTTGGGACAGCTTCCTGCTCCCACAGTTTGACTAGTAACTCGTGTAAATCATCCATAAGAGCAGGTCCCCCCGAATTTGAAGAGGGTTGGAGGAAGATCATCTGGTCCCACGGCTTTATTTAACTTCAACAGTTTGATCTCATGTTCGACTTCTGAGCGAGAGGGTGGATCCAAAGGGACAGCCCCGGGGAGCAGGGCGATCACTGGCCGGCGAGAAATCTAACTATTCCGACCGATTAAATTGCCTTTTAAAGTGCTCAGCCCAACGCTCTAAGCGTTTTGATAAGTTGTGGATAGGCTGTCCACTCTCGTCACGTATAGTTAAGAGGGATGGGTTGGGACAAAAAACTCACAGCAGAGACGCCACTGAGGTCGGCTCCTTGCCATGTCAGCAAGTGTATCCAGCCAAACGTGTTCACCGTATTTTGGACCCCAACCAGGGAGAAGCGGGTTTTCAATACCGAGTGACCGAAGGCTTAGGGAACATTCAAACTAAGGGCTACAGAAACGAGAAAGCACACAATAAATGTTTAATACTTCACCATTCTGTTTTCTGGTCTACTGACACGTGGGTTCTTCGAGAACGCAGCCGAAGAATAACAAATGATGGGTAAAAGTTTCCATGGTGACGCTACGCTACTCCTCCCGACTTACGTGATGCTTCCAACACATGCAGGTGATTCGACTCCGATGTCCACGTGATCGGCGGTATCTGATAATGTGGATGCACAATCAAGAGTAACTTCGAATCGGTACAACTCAGATTATCGGGTTTGAAACAAGTAAATGCACGAGTGTCCCATAGGTGTCCGATAACCGTCTGGCCCGAGTTCTGATGGGACACCAATCGAATACAAACAAAAATTCCGCGGAAAACCGGATATGAAACGCAGGAAAACCAGTGCACACACCAGTGACAATCCATTACGTGTTGAATGCGTGATGCACTCTCGCGTTACCGGGCACCTAGGTTACTATGAAGTAAGGTCAGTACAGTTCAGTTGAACAACTATGATCTAAGCACCGAAGTGCGGTGGATCCAGTTGCCACGACTCATATCACAGGAATAACAATAAATAACAACGGCAAGACAGTGGGGTTAAACGCAAATATGGTGTAAAGAAAATGGAAGCAAGAAGCAAGTGTGTTAAAATAAGCAGAATGGAAAGCAAATTAACAACCAGATGCAAAAAACTTATGCAGAAATACCACTGACTGAATGATTGCACCATGCCTAATACAGTCTCAAACCACTGGCGTGAACCATTACGAAGCTTCCATCCAGCCTGACCAAGTCTCTCAAACAATTTTTCATGCCATTATGCCATGTCATTGACTGACTACCACGCGGTTTCACTCAACTTAGTGAAGCCATGGAAGCCGGTAACAGGGATAAGGAGGACATAGCCTAGCCAACGGTAGCGATTAGGATGTAACTAACACTCGAGTGAGGTACCAAGAGACCTGCTGGACCCAGGGATTGCTCGTCCGGTGTTTCCACCAGACGTGAACAATACTTCACAAGCACCAGTGATTAAACACAGTTAAGCGTTTAATCATCGCCGCGAACTGGCCAGGTCTCTGATCCATACAAGACCGACATTACCGCAGCGTTACACACCCTACCTTTCACTGAAAGGTTGATATCCCGCCGTCTTCAACAACAGTTCAGCCTCTGAAAAGCCGCACAGGTCTTGCTGACACGCGAACTTCCTCAGTGATGTAGTATGCGCCCGGTCGAGGATTCCAAGGGCTTCCGTGTTCAGTGCGTACGTAGGTCGTGATAGACCTAAGGAACTATAATGCAAAGCAAATACCTAGTAGGTGGATCGGTGCTCATATCACAACTAACTAGGAAGAGACCACACCAAACGAAACGTGAAGGGAAAAAGAAGAGAAAGCATCAATGGCCGTCTAACTGAGGTACGACAATCTCCTTACCTCAGGGATCACTACAAGTTCACGCTCGGACCTGCTATAGTAGTGCGCAGGCAAGGAAGAACTCCAAGAATTGAGGAGCGTCTAGTACACAAAAATAGCCTAGGAGTGAATGGTGCTCCGATATGCCAGCAAAGACTTTGGTAGTATGAAGCTCCACCCATTTACATTTCGATCCACGAAGGCCTTTAATAGCGACTTCAGCGACCGATTCATAGGCTCGATTTGTACGCTGCCTTCGGGATGGTAGCCCGTTGTTCTCATGTCTTTACCGGGCACGCGACAAAGTTCCTGTACCAGAAAACTCTTGAAACATGAGTCTCTATCAGAGTGCAGCTGTCCCGGTGCTCTCCATTGACAAACGCAGTGATTAAGCATCGCTGTTGCCACTGTGACCGTGTCGGCTTGTGCAATCAGAACGGCTGCACACCATAGCGAAATAGTCGACTATGACCAGGATGTACCGACATCCACGTGGTGCTTTTGGTAGAGGACCAATAAGATCAACCCCCACTATCACGGTAGTGTGTCCTACTATCATAAGCTGTAGCGGTTCTGTCCGGGTAGTGTTCGGGTTCTTATCCGTGGGCGCATGTCTCACACGTCTGGCAAAAGTTAACGACATCTCTTGGATGATGTGGCCACCAAAAGCGTTGGCTTGCTGCCGCATCAAGTTGGCTGATTTCAGCATGACCCAACTGTTTGTGCAGTTCAGACAACCCAAATAATGGCTGTGAAATCACAATTCTCCTAACGTAATTTGGGCCATAACCAAACAGTAACACGCTCCCTTTAAGGGTGAGCTTATCCCACATCGTCCACAAGCATCGAGCCACGTAATATTTTACCTCCATTTCCTTCGCGGTGGATTTATTGCCTCCCGAGTGCTGCTTTTTATAAATAAGTGACATGTTTGGGTCTGCCGCCTATGCTTCCTGCCAACAACCATACTTCGAACTTTGGTTAATTAGTGCCACGTGTTCTGTAGTACGTGACGGGCAGTCTCGATGCGTAGGAAGTGGAAGTCCGAAAAGAGCGTCTGCGTTGGGATGTTGTGCACCAGGACGGCGTCGACACTGAAAAGCATACTCTTGAAATTGTTCTTACCATCTGGCAATTTGTCTTTCCGGGTCTCTGAAGTACTGCCACCAGCAGAGTGACTGATGATCTATCCGTACCAAAAAGTCGCTTCCCAACAGG